TATTTTTAATTTGTGAGAAAACTCAGGATCACAGGATATTTGTGAGAGAAAAGGTTCCAGAAGAAGTTAGGAACTTGTTGTGATAGGACTTGAAGTTATACAAAAAAGAAACCCTTGATGTGTGGGGTTTTGTGGTCTGCTGGGTGTGGAGGTGAGATGGAAGACACAGGATAAAAACTACTTCAGATTGGGGCCAGGGAGTTAGCTCAGTAGAATAAGTGCTTGCCTGGCAAGCGCAAGGGCCTGAGTTCAATCCCCAGTTCCACAAAAAAAAAAAAAAAAACCTACTTCAGAGCTAGAATTCAGGTTAGCTCTAGCTTAGAGTGTTGACTCTTGGCAGGGAGTAGATGCAGTTTGGAGCATCAGTCTTCCTTGCATGGAGTCTTCAGAGCCCTTTGGAAATTAAGGATAGCTTTACATCAAGAAAGGAGAAGGGAAACTAGCTAAACAAGAGGGCATGGAGAAGGCAGGTGTCTTAGTCACTCTCTCCTCACTGAGACACAATCCCCAACACCCACAAGCTGAAGGAGGAAAGGTTTGACTCATAGCTTGCAGAGGTTTCAGTGCATAGTCAGCTACTTCCACAGCAGTGCAGCATGACACAGGGGCATGGCCATGGCAGAGGAGAGACAGCTCATGGCAGGGCTGTAGAAATCTGAGAGAAATCAAGGGGGGAGGAGGGAGATCCACCCTTCCATGCCACACCCCTAATGACCCACCTCCTCCAATTAGGTTCCACCTCCCAACATCACATTCAGCTAGCCAATAAACCTTCAAAATTCATGGGGGATACATTCTTAGAGCACCTGCGAATTGTGAAAAACTGCAAATTTCAGATATGGACCCCCAAAAATGTGTATAAGCACCTATTCTTTTATTTTTTATTTATTTAATTTATTTATTTATTTTTGGTGGTGCCTGGGACTGAACTCAGGAACTTGTGCATGCCAGGCAAATGCTTATTCTACTGAGCTATCTCCCTGGCCCCAGAACCTATTCTTTTAGTTTAAACCCTAAATATGCTATGTGTCCTGCTGTTATGCAACCTAATTGAATACTAATAATGCCTTAGCAGATACAGGCTGTTTTGGCTGAATCTTAGGGACGTTAGGGCTTAAAGAACAAAACCGAGAACACTGGAGATAGCTAGAACGTGTTATGATGCAGGAATGCTGGTTAAGTCTGCCAGAAATGGGTTACAGAGCAGCAACCAATCAGTAGCAAGAAATGAAAAATGCTTTTAAGATTGGGTACTCCCAAATCTCCCACCAAAAATAGAATTGTGGAGGATATTTGCAGTTTGCACAAAATTGAAGGGATTTCCACAAACAATTATTAGTTAGTTTCTAAGGCTTAAACTATAAAAATAAGTGTCTACAGGCATCTTTAAAAACCATATCCAAACCACTGAGGCCAAGAATTCTGACCTGTGACTTTCGGAGTATACTGTAAATTCGTCAGTGGCGTAATACAAAAAGAGTTGGTGAAATGGTTTAAAGTTGCAGTCAAGTTTTGATCATTTGACCCATCTCATCTAAAAGATTTTAAGGTTATAAATCCAGTACTTTTGTTTTTTCCAGTACTAAGGGCCTTCTCACTGAGCTATATCCCCACTCCTTGTTTATTTTTGAGACAGGGTCTCAACAAATCACTACATTCTCGAGGCTAGGATTGAATTTGTCAGTCTTCTGCCTCTGCCTTCCAGAGTGCGACAGTTACAGGTGTGATTCACCATACCCTAATAAGCCCAGCATATATTATATACAATTATCATCGATACGACATTCATACGTATATTTTTCTTTTTTTGTTTGAAGTTAGAGCTGACTTGGTTAGAATACCAGACTCTCTTGTGCTACTTCCAGCTTGCCACTGTTTCCCTGTTGAGGTGAGGCCGGTGCCAAGTCACTGCACAACTAGAAAACTGCTGGTAAGGTTTTCCCAAGAGAGGAAATAGTTCATGGGACCTTCAGGGCAGAAGCTCCTGTTCCCTGTAGGTAAAATGTTTTTATAATTGCCACTAGGAAAAAGAAAGGGCCCAGGGGTGGATTCTTCTGCCCCAGGGAACCCCTCCCTGGTTATAAGCTAAGTTGGGGTGTGTGTGTGTGTGTGTGTGTGTGTGTGTGTGTACCAGATGGGTGGAATTAAACCTCCTAAGGTATTGTTTTTAAATGTCCTGAGACTCCTGTGTAAGTCTTCTTTCTCTTCAAAGGAGCATCCTTTCTAGTCACGGGTGCACAGAGTGGGCCTGGACCTGAGGTCCTCCCTCTACTGGCTGTGTACTCGAAGGATCTGGAATTCTGGACCTTAGGTTTGTGTTTTGACATGCTGGCTGAAAGATGATAGGAAAGGGAATTAGCCATTGAAGAAGTTCCTTGTTTTCTACAGACGTGTCTGCCATAAAGAACTGGTGGCCACAACCTTCGGGTTGGTCAGTCAGAGCATCGATATGCCAACCAGCCAGCCCACAGTGCTGTGAAATGAGCGACCAAAAAAAAAAAAAAAAAAAAAAAAAAATCCCAGTAGATTGTCAGAGTGGCAGAGGAAAAAAAGGCAAGAGAAGAGTGTTACAAAAGAAAGCAAAAATAGACACCTGAAATGAATTTTGAAGTACAAGAAGTAAATATAAACAAAGTCTGCAGTGACCCCTGAACTCAGCCCAAACACGTTTTTCAGGTGCTGAGTTAACTTCAAACTGAACAAGTTGCTGTGGCCAGAAGTTAAGATAACCTCCCTCCCAGCCTTGGCACAGAGTGAGGGCAGATCTGCACCTAGAATACCACATGTTGGTGAAGCATCAAAAAAAGACTAAGCCTGGGCTGGGTATGTAGCTCACTGGTTAGGTTGTGAGTGTAGCAGGTCTGGGTTTAATGTTGGGCTCAATCTCCAGCACACACGGTCCCCAAAAGAAAAGTCAAGTGAGGTTGGAGCTGCTCAACAAACGCTTAAAATGGTCAAGGAGAGTAGGGCCTCCCTACCTCTTCTAGGAGGAGCCAGTGAATTGGGAGAACCCTGCAGTGTAAAAAGTAGGATGCGTTATGGCTGAACAGTACAAAATCCAACTTTTGAAGCCCTCTTACTTTCTTAGACTATGGCTGTTAGGGGCTGTAAGGGGGTGATTAAGATGCAGTCATTAGTGTGAGCCTTAATCTGATCTGACTAGCCTCCTTATTAGGAGATGAGCAGGGCATGGTGGCCCACATCCTGATTCCAGCAGTGAGGGAGGCTGAGGCAGGATGATCATAAGTTTTGAACCCCACCAAGGAATTTTGAGACTCTTAAGTAAATAAATAAAATTTTATTCTGAAAAGGGTTGGGGATGGCAGCCCTGGAAGACAATACAGATGAGAACAGATATGGGATGATGTAAGTGGTGAACGGTCTAGGAAAGGATGTGGTCATGTCAGGGTACCACAGCAAAGGTGTCTTCAGCAGGAAGGTACATACTGCCTATATAGAATCACTTATGATACTAATTTTGCAGTACTGGGGCTTGAATTCAGGGCCTTTACATTGAGCTACATCCCCAGCCTTTTAAAAATGTTATTGTTTTAAGACAGGGTCACCCTAAGTCACTAAGTTGCCCAGCCTGGGCTTGAACTTGCACTCCTCCAGCCTCAGCTTCTAACAGCGCTAGTATTGCAGGTGTGTGCCAACCTGTGATACTTCTTAAAGACCAAGGCCTTGGGCTCACAGGATTCAGTGTTCAAATGTTTTGGAATGAGCCCTAAGAATGTGGGGCTGTTTTGCTAAACATCCTGAGTGATGCTTTTGCCGTGTAAGGCTGGAGACACAAAGCTAAGTCCTGCCTGACCTCTGGCTCTTTTCTGGGTGTGGCTGGCAGGTACTAATTCCACCTCATCCAGGGCTGGTGGACCTGGTGCTCTGGTGGATGTCCTACCACACAGGAACCAAGAGTAAATCTGCCAGAAGCATCTATCTCATCAGATGTCAGCTTAGCACATGGAAAAGTGGAAGGGGAATGGGATGGAACAAGTGCAGTCCTTATGAGAATTCACTGTTGGTTGTGGAAAGAAATCGGTCTCTCACCTATCTCACTTAAGATGCATTTTGAACAACCATGTTCAGTACACATATTATTTCTCTCATTAAAGGGCCTATTACTTTGGTGCCTAAATTAAGAAAGAATACAACGAATAGAATGGGCATAGCTAACTTTTCTGCTGCTGTGTATCAGTTGAGCTTGCATGGCCACTTCCCAGACCTGACAATGCTTCTTGTTTTCCTTATTAATTCTGTTGTTGTGACTTTATTTTCAGTGCTGAGGAGGAAACCCACGACCTCCCACACTGGCTGGGAGGTACTCTACTGAGCCATACTGCCAGCCCAGTCTGGGCCTTGTAATGCCCTACTGTACTGTTAAAATACAACAGTGAAACAGACAACACACAAACGAAATAAGCTAACAGTAACTGGGAAAGACTTTAACAAATACTTCCTACAGGCTCTGCGCTTCTATTTATGTCATCACCAAGGGCAATGGAACTGAAGTTGAAAGAGAGAGAGAGAGAGAGAGAGAGAGAGAGAGAGAGAGAGAGAGAGAGAGCGCCAGCTAGCAGTGATGCACTCTTTCAGGGTCACATTTACAAACGTGACTGAGGACCACAAGGTTTGACGCTTTGGGGTTTTAAAACAAATTTAGACAGGTCATATGAGAATTGTCAGGACATTAGACTAGTTCTCTGTTTCAACCAGAATGCGGTCACCGTGCCTCGTCGGTGGCCAGGCCAGGCTAAGGGGCTCCTGCAGCCGGTTTCTGAGCACTTCTTTAATGAGCACTTAATATTTGGCTAAGTATTTTTCCCTCTTTGACCAAGTTTCAGGCGGTGGAGCTCACTAGATTCCCACTAGATTCTCGGGGTGGGGGGACGTGGGGGGTGGAGGGATGGAATTGCCATTACCGATCCAGCGCTCTCCGGAAACAGTAATTCCAGCCCTGAAGAAACTGTCTTCCAACTCCAGCCCTAACCCCTGCGGAGGCGCACAGGAGGGCCGCGGCCGCGGGTGGGTGCCCAGCGCGCGGCGGAGCCCACGGCCTTCCGGGGCGTCTTCCCGGGGTCCTGATAAGGACACGCGCCCGGGGGCCGCCGAGGCGGCTCTCGCGGCGTGCGTGCGGCCCTCGGCGGCGTG